CTTTCTTTTGATAAGTGTTGGGTGCATCTGACAAAATTTTCGGTACAACTCGTCGATTTCTCGACAGTACGGTTCTGCTGTGATGGTTTGACTATCACCTGGTTATAAAAGTTATAGTGGATCACATCAGCCGATGACCACCAAAAAGTGACCAAAATCTTTTTTGTGAGGGTTCGGCTTTGAAAATTACCTCGGTGGTTCGTCAAAATCCAACCTCTGTCCGGAACGTCTCCTGATATCATACATGACCCATTTTTCATCACAGGTGACAACTCGGCCCAAAAACAGGTCGTTTCCGCTGCGCAAAAGCAATGCAGAAGGAACCTCGAGACGTGCCGATTCCTGCCGGTCACTCCGATTGTGGGGCACCCAATTGTCGAGTTTTTTTCACCTTCCCAATGCGTTCCAGACCATCTGCAACAGTGCATTTGCCAAGGCCTAGCTCTTCTGCTATCACTCAAACTGTTTGGGATGGGTCAGCCTCCAATATCCCCCTAAAATCCTCGTCAGATATTGCTTTAGGTTGACCGCTATGAGGGTCACCTTCAAGGCCGAAATCTCCAGAACGAAGTTTGTTGAACCATTGCCGCACAGTGCTTTCTCTAGCACTATTGGGCCTCCACACCTGGTTAACTTGTTGAGCTGTTTCGATTGCGGATTGCCCCAATTTATAGTCGAAGAAGAAAATCGTCCCAAGGGCTCTTTTCACATGCTTGAAAAAATCTTGAAAAAAGGGGGTTTATTAAGCAATGGTGAAACGGCAATTATCCCATCAGATAGTGCAAGAAATTCTCTACAGGATGTGCTGCTGAGAAGCAAGGCAGAATGAGTTTTTAATCAGCAGTGAATGTGCAAAAAATAGGTGCACAGAACGCTGAGAACTTTCCGGACAACCTAATATTACATCTACATTTGTTGTTCTTCATTTCTAGCCTTTGTCATCTTCATCACCTTCTATTCGGACTTTGAAGCATGAGCAATATCTGAAATGTTAGGAAATTGCGTTTTGCTTGTATTGTCATGTTGTCCGTTTATTTTGATGTTTTGTGGAATGCGCGGCTGCGAGGGCTGTTGCAGAAGCAGCACAGTTGCTCTTGAGTTCTAGCCCTCGTCATCATCTTCGGTCCTTATTTTGCAGGACCCAAAATGTTATCCACATGAAGAAATTGCGTTGTACTTGTATTCAAAACGCAATTACAGGACTTGGCAAAATCAAGAGAGCTGCACGCGACCGCGCCCGCGCGGACGGTGTTAGTTAAAACGTGAGTTCGCGAAACGGGCGGCGTAGCAAGGATTTACGACCTTTCCACGGCCCCGTACTCTCAACTCGAGCTTTGACAATCTTCGTCCCTTAAAGACGCATGGTACGCTCAAACACATTGAGGGTGTATGAGACTATCAGCCCCCCGCTGTCGATGTGTCGTGGTCCCCCCGCCCAAAAACTGCACGGAGTTAGAGTACGGGACCGCGGGGAAGTCGTAATTCCTTGTTACACCGCCCATTTCGCAAACTCACGTTTTTACTAACACCGTTAGCGCGGCGCGGTCGCGTGCAGCTCTCTTGGCTTTTTGCCAAGTCCTGTAATTGCGCTTTGGAATACAAGTACAACGCAATTTCTTTATGCGGATAACATTTTAGGTGTTGCAAAATAAGAATTGAAGAAGATGACGAAGGTTAGAACTCAAGAGCAACTGTGGTGCTTCTGCAATATCCCTCACAGGCCGCGCATTCCCGCAGAACATGACAAAGAAACGGACAACATGACAATAAAACATGACAATACAAGCAAAACGCAATTTCTTAACATTTGAGGTATTGCTCATACTCAAAAGTCCGAATAGAAGGTGATGAAGATGACAAAGGCTAGAAATGCACAACAACGAATGTAGATGTAAATAAAACAAAATTGGAAAAAAACCAAGGAGACGCAATAAATTAAAATCGCTGCATTTCTGCAATCCGGCTCGAATCCGGCTTTAATGCTATAGAAATACTTCAAACTAACGAGTGGGACGCTCAGGCCGTTTTTATTTTGATGTTTTGTGGGAATGCGCGGCCTGCGAGGGCTGTTCCACTTGTATTCCAAAGCGAATTACAGGACTTGACAAAAAGCCAAGAGAGCTGCACGCGACCGCGCCGCGCGGACGGTGTTAGAAAAAACGTGAGTTTGCAAAACTTTCCCACGGTCCCGTACTCTGACCCTGTGCAGTTTTGTTCTGGTGGACCACGACACATCGACAGCTGGGGATGATAGTCTCATACACCCTCAATGTGTTTGAGCGTACCATGTGTCTTTAAATCTCCGTTGGCCCTGTGATTCTTTCAGCCTCACCCGAGCGGTCTTACAAAGGAACCCCAACATCGATCCGGCCATTTGCAATGAGATGTATATGCATGGACGTATCTTGAGCCGCTGAATCCAAATCTGTCCTCCGAATTTGCGGAACGATTCTCTGAAGGAAGTTACGGACCATTTAATCTTTGCGCTGTTTGCACAAGTTGAGCACGATAACTGGATGCGGCAAGCGGCCGATGGCCTAGTGGATAAGCGCACTGCTCCTGAGACACGAGGTCTTATGTTGGAATCCGTGACTCTTGAAAACATTTGCTTTTGTTTAAAACATTTGATATGGGCCCCGAAAAACTTTTTTTGGGCCATTTTACCTAGTTCTTCGATTATTTGCTGCGGAAGACGGCCGATTCTCCATTTCTGGTTCCTTCTGAAAAGTTTTATTATGAGGACAACCGTTTCTAGAGCTTGCATCGAGTGAGGTTCTTACGGTTCAAGAGGACATGTGGTATTCTTCCACGAAATGATAGAAACAATACAAGTTCTCACAATGAGCACAGCGAATGAAAAAGTACTGTGCAGACACGGTACAGTTACAGTTCTGCACCAGTCCAGAGGGGAAGCAGTACTGAAGAGGTGTTTCGAACTCACCAGGATGTCATTGACGTATCCAGCCGAGTACCAAGAATGGGACAAGAAGTTTTTTAATCTAGGTGAGCAAAATTGAGAATAGGTAATAGATAAAAGGCGGAGAATGAGTCCATCGCAGTATATCCGTTGCATCGTAAGCAATGTTCAGTGAGAAGCCCACCTTCTCCTTCGAGATCACAATATCGCCAAAAACAAAGGAGCCTTTTGTCGCGCCTTTCAGCTTGTCGCACTCCTCGTCCTCTGGGCTCCATACGGGGGGGGGGGGTTCTTCCTTATCCTCTTATACATAGTCTCTCACCCATGGATTATTAAGCTGTCATATTCGGCGTCTCGCAAGATAGACCCAGAGCTGTCTATCACTTTCCGCTCCTTCCGAGATGGTAGGCATGTTACTTCACAGGAGCCGAAGTCCCTCAACAGATACGCCAGTACCAGTCGACAGCACAAGAAAGCAACCGCAGTTTCTTTGTGCGGAATGCCATGTGTCGGTAGATCACAATCATAAGAGGCTGATCATATCGGATGATTCTACACAGATCACGTATACAGAATATTGTTCGAAATCAAAAACGAAATTGTAGTACTGCTTCCCCTCTGGACTGGTACAGAACTGTATCTGTACCGTGTGTGAAAAACACTTTTTCATTCGCTGTGCTCATTATAAGAACTTGTATTGCTTCTATCATTGCGTGGAAGAATCATATGTGCTCTTGAACCGTGAGATCGTTATTCCTTGCAGATGCAGGCTCTAGAAACAGTCAACGGTCTCATATTAAAAGTTTTCAAAAGGAACCAGAAATGGAGAATCGGCCGCCTTCCGTTGGCAAATAATCAAACTAGGTAAAATGGCCCAAAAGAAGTTTTTTCGGGGCCCATATCAGATGTTTTAAACAAAAGCAAATGTTTTCAAGAGTCAAGGATTTTAACATGAGACCTCGTGTCTCAGGAGCAGTGCGCATATCCACTAGGCCATCGGTCGCTTGCCGCATTCAGTTATCGCGCTCAAGTTGTGCAAACAGAGCAAAGATTAAATGGTCCGTAACTTCCTTCAGAGAATCGTTGCACAAATTCGGAGGACAGATTTGGATTCAGCGCCTCAAGGCACGTCCGTGCATATACATCTCATTGCAAATGGCCGGATCGATGTTGGGGTTCCTTTGTTAGCCGACTCCGCCCTGTCGGGTATTCCCTCAGTTTCAGAGGAAAGAGGACCATAATTTTTTCGGCGTCAGGAAATTTGACCACGCGTAGCGGCAGGGTCTGACGTGGCACCCTCCGCATTAGAACGGTTTGGAACAGTCCCAACCGTTCACTCCACGCCACGTTGAGGCTGCGGATAGCATTCGTGGGGTGAAGAGAAAAGAAATCCCGTAATCTACCTCATTTCGTGTATGAGATCGTTTCTCATCGCACGCCGGTTTTCTAGACGAACGAGTTTGGAAAGGTGTCTAACAGATGGGCACTCCTGGATAATAATGGTAATTACCTTGCTTATTGTCGGCTCTCTAGAGCGTCTCGCCTGTGCCGGATAGGCTCATGCGATCATTTTTCCGCACACTTTCACAATAATTAATTCTTCTTCCTACTACTTCCTGTTCTTTTTTGCTTTGGGAGTCTTGAAGCGCGAATGCTTGCCCGCTGCTTTTTTCAAGAAATTTAGTTCAGCTTCCATGTGGTAAGGCTGGATGTGTGGCACGAGTTTTCAGACTTCCAGGCATGTTGGAGACATTGTTACGATCTGAAATTGATAAGTAATTGACATCTGGAAGGGTTACTGTTACACCTTGATTCACATTATTCGTTTTCACATAAAAATGATGATCGTAGTGCACTCGAAATCCCAGAGATGTGGTAGGTGTGGTGCGTACTTCAGCTAAGCGTTGCGGTTTCTGAGCTTCTCGTTAGATATTTTCATTTTGAAACAACTGTGGTTATGTCCTTCCGTCCGAAACAGAACAAGATGACACTTGTGTCAGGTTGAAATATCCTACGAGCATCCCAGTTTCCTGTGCCAGGTTGAAGTGCCACGCATTTTCCTTTTCAGGGACAAGGACTGTAAATGGTGCATGAACATCGTTTCGTAATAGTGTGCTCAATGAGGTCTTGCAGGGCATCGACCTACACGTGGTGGAGGACACGGAAGAAGCACGTCTCATGACCGACAAGTACCCGCGACCACTGAATGTGATCGAGCGACCGCTGATGGACGGAATGGCTATTGTTGGAGAGCTTTTCGGTTCTGGAAAAATGTTTCTACCGCAAGTAATATCTAATTATTTATTGATTGATTCAACTGTTTCCTTCTTGTATAAGTCAGAGATATGTTATCAGAGGTTTTTCATGTGATGAGAGGACACACAGTGCGTAGAGGGTTCTTTAGCGAGCGGTCATAATCGAGTAATTCCGAGGGGCGTCATACCTGACTTTTTGAATACAGGAACGGATGAGGGAATTCAAGGAAGCGATGAAGACTTCTACAGTCTGCTGCAGTTTTTGGTGTTGTGTTGCAGTGAATACTTCCTTTCCCTCAGGTAGTTGATAGTTCAAAGTAGCAAAAATGTTCAATTTTGACGTTGGAATGGTCTTAGGCTGCAGTGGAGGGAGCTTAGCAATAGGTTTTTTTCTTATTACCACAGCATCCTCTGGTGATGCCTTTTCCTGGAATGGTCTACATAACCCCTGCTTCTGCGATAGTGCAGTGCGTATTTTCTAAAATAGTAGACAGAGTCCGAACTGTCAAAAAAAACATGCCCTCTTCAGGACTGAACGTGGTAGTCGAAGTCTGGAGTTTTGCCATTCATCTTGTGAAGTTTAACGCTTGAATCTTTTCATGATAGTGTCTCGTTTTTATGGACTTCTGTCGCATAACGCAGGAAATTCGTCAATGTTAAAGGTGATCAAATCAGCACGGGTGATGAAAAAGGCTGTGGCGCACTTGATACCGTTTATGGACCAAGAACGTGAGGACAACATAAAGAAATTGGGATTATCTGCTGACGAAGTGCGTCCCATACTTTCTCAATTTTTCTCATCGATGTTGTTCACTAACATTTTGTTTTGAAGCGTTCCATCCCTTGTTCAGAGTCCCTATCAGGGAACAGTTGTTCTCGCCACCGTCAAAGGAGATGTCCATGATATCGGAAAGAACATAGTGGCTGTTGTTCTGGGATGTAACAATTTCAAGGTATGTTCTCATAATATTTTTTTCGAATTGAAGTTCCAATGTGCCTTTCAAAAAATGAATAGATTAAACAAAGCGCGAAACATTGCTTCCACTGATTGCATAGCATATTGCGTTAAGAGCTATCAATGGAGGGGGGAAGCATGGCGCGCCCCATAAATTGGCACATCAACAATGGAAACTTTTTCCCCGAGGCATAAGGTAGTGTCGGCTAGTTGTCTCTTCATTTCTGAAAAATATGCCCAGTTCCACCCAGTTCGTAGGACGCGTCGAATAATAAGAGTTTATTGGAACAGAATGAATAACAGGTTGTTAGAAAGAAATAACACTGTAGGCGAGCGAAGAGGTAGTAGAATGGCGTGGCGTAGAAGAAGAAGGGCGGGTAGGCAGATGGAGTTTGTAGATGAGCTGGTTCGACTATGCCCCGAGGGCCTTTTATAGCAACTCTCCCGCGCGACCTACGGTGGTCAGCACTGACCACCCAGGCCGCGCCATCGTTTTTTCGATCTCTTCCCGCACTTTGGCCACTCGCCAGTCGTGATCCACCGCCGCCCTCACATGCCTCCCCCCGTGGATAAGGCTGTCCCATTTAGCCCTTATGAAGCCGCGCCCTCTATGTCCACTTTTCCGGCGACTTTTTGAACTGATTTCTGAACACTGGCTTGTGGGTACTCCTTGAAAACGTCTGTCGATAACTGTGGGCAGGGGCATCTGGAGCGTTGAGCTGCTTCGCGGCGGTGCTTCCTATCCTCAAATCGTTGGTGTTTCCTCCCTTGGCTTCGGTGATGTCTTCTGTGGTCCTGAACGTCTCTAAAAGGCTTGGATGTATGTTTCACAGCTTCAGATTTTGTCCGTATCTTGAAATACGGCGAAAGCCTTATGTGTGGGATACAGAATTCACGCGTGGCCTCGTAAAACTTTCTGACTTCCCCCGTCGAGTAGGAATGCGGGTGTGCTCCAGTCCGTTCTCCGACAATATTGCAGGGGTGGAGTGGGAGATTCTGCTCGGCTTTCGACATCAGTAGAAATCTGATTCGACTTTGAAGTCGTGGTACCTGGGGAGTTGTTTCTTCGAACAGATCTCTCAATATGTCCACTGCTTTGGGCCACTGTTGGTGATCTCGAGAAGTTCCTAGAACAAACACTCGACTCCATCTGATATCATTCCGAGAATCAACTGCCACGCTCGAGCCCACGCTGTAGTATCGTACGCCCTCGAAAGGCTGAATAGCACAACAGCGGAAAACTCATCTGGACACCATCTCTCTTGAATATCGTCCGGTTTGGAGTAAATCCTGACTAGTTGAGAATGCGACTGGATCGAACAAACATGCTCTTTGAAGTCCCGTGGCAACAACATCAGAGTCTTCTTCGGTGCAAGGTCTTTCCACAGCGTTTCTGTCCATGGATGGGCTTGCGCCCAGCTGCATGCGTAATCGAAGAGACTCGAGAGATCGTATAGGTCGTCCTGCGTGCGACACGGGTGCGCCTCCAGTCCATGGTGCCCTGCCGAGTATCTCGTTTGTATGCCCTGCATCACGTGTAAACACTTAGCTGAGAAAATTGGCGAATTCCAGTCCAGTGGGATAGGGCGTCATACTCTGGGTCCAGAATTCGAGCCATTCGCATCTCCGGAGAAGTGTGCGTCTGAGACATGATAGTGGCCACACGGGCGAGCTTGCAGACGCAGTCAAAGGTCAGATTGTCCACTGGTGAATTCCTCGAGCAGGAGATTTCACGTCACGTCATATTGCAAGCCCAGGGCAGTCTCTGACCATCTAGCGATGAACCTCCTGGACAAATGAATTCGACGTGGAGCGGGTTCATGATCGCAATCGATGGCTGTCTGAAAACGAAGTGATTACGAATCATATTGCAACAGCTTGTCACGCTACATTTGCGACCACGTCGTCCACGGAGGCCTTTAGTCCTCAGAGGGGTATCGGGAATCGCGGATGGTACCTTTATCAGGTGATCCCATTGTACTCTTATTAGCTCCTTATTTTGCCCTATCAAGGTAACTAGTGCAGAATTTGTGCTGCTCTCGATGACTCTATACGGTCCTGACCAATCGCTTATCAGGTTTGGGTGAGATGCTTTGCTTTTTTCTGGCGGCACCTTCACATAAAAGCGATCACCCTTCTTTATTATGGTCAACTTGTCGGTATTGAAACGCCTATCATACCTATCCTTCATCTTCCTTCGATACTCTTCAGAGTGGGAAGAAATGCACTCGCGCGCCAGTTTTAGGCCTGACAAAAACTCAGTTTTGTACTGATCATAGTCCATCGTGAATGGCACTAATTGTTCCCTAGGAATAATCTGTGAGGGAAATATTGGATCTCGTCCGTACATGAGAAAGTGAGGGCTCTCTCCAGTCGCTTCGTGTGGGCATGCATTATACGCATAGACAACAGTAGGTAGGATGACATCCCATTCCGCGGGCACCACCGTTTTCTTTCGTAGCATGCGAATGATAGTCCCATTCACCCTCTCGGTTATCCCATTTTTCCGAGGGCAGTATCCTTTGGTGAACAGCTGCTCAATGCCCATCACTTCGCACAGTGCAGTGACAACCGCATTCTCGAATTCCGCTCCGCGATCTGAAAGCAGTTTTTCGGGCCATCCTCCCCGCGGCACAAATCCATTGGCTGAACAAAACTTCTGCCACCGTTTCTGTCGTTTTGTTTGGTATTGGGTACGCTCCAAGATATTTAGTGAAGTGGTCGATGATAGTTACTATATATCTATTTCCTCTGCTTGAAGTGCCCATCTCCAGCAAGTCAACACCCACTATTTCGAAAGGTCTCGACACGACAATCGACTTCAACAGGGTGTCTACCCTATGGCTGTTGTTGACAAAGCACGTTTGGCATTCTCGACACCATTTTGCTATATCCTATTTCATTCTCGGCCAGAATGCTATTTTTTCCAACTGAAGCAGCATTTTTCTGGGACCAAAATGACCACTCGTGAGTCCATGGTGCGCTTCCTCGAAAAGTTTTCTTCTTTTACTCTCGGGTATCACATTCACCATGGAGCCATCCTCGCGAATCAGACGCAATTTTCCATTGCTGATTTCGAAATCGGCCGAGGTAAGTTTCCTACCGTATCGCGCCGGCGTTACCTATTCTTCCCTTTGTTCCTCTATTGCCTCTATTACTGATCCAAAATTCTCATCTTCTCTTAACTCTACGAGCCAGTATTGTTCTGTAACAAGTGCTACAACGTTCCCAATTTCAGCAGATTTTGGCGCTTCAGCGATTCCTTGTGAGACTATTCCCCTCGAAAGTGCGTCTGCAACGTTATTTGCTGCACCTTTTACGTACTCTATTTGCAGATCATAACGCTGAAGTTCTAATGCCCAGCTCAATACGCGTGGGGAAACATTAGTTCGTTTGAACAACGACGTAAGGGCAGTGTGATCTGTCCGGACAATGGTACGCGCCCCATAGATGAAGTAGTGAAATTTCTTCACCGCAAACATGACGCCAAGCGCCTCCTGGTCCGTTATGTGGTAGTTTTTCTCCGACTTGGACAGTCCTCTAGAGGCAAAATGCAGCGGATGAATTAGCTCATCATTGCCCTCTTGTGCCAAAACCGCTCCCACTCCAATGCGGGATGCATCTGTATATATGTAAAATGGTCGGCTTCCTTGACGTGCAGCCTCAATGTCTGGTTGTCCCAAAACCGGTGCTTTCGTTAGAAGATCCTTCAAGGTTGTGAACGCTAACTGGTGTGCTTCTAGCCAAAGAAACGATGCTTTTGTGCTCGTGAGATCATACAGCGGCTGAGCAATTTGTGCATATCGAAAAATGAACTTCCGGTAGTAACCTGCCATGCCTAAGAAGGTCCTCAGTTGTGCAAGGTTTCGTGGCTGTGGATAGTCGCAAATCTTTTCTATTTTGCAAGGGTCAGTGCGCAGCCCATCCTGATCCACTACGTGTCCTAAGAACTCGACAGAACTTTGAAAAATTCGACCTTTCCAAGGTTTAAGCTTTAGATGCGCCCGCTGTAGCGCTTGGAAAACCTGTCCCAGAACTTCCACATGGCGTTCCATAGTTTCTGTCGCTGTGAGCATGTCATCAATGTACACCGACACTTCCGCTCCCTTCGCCGGCCCTAAGACCTTTCCCATAAGTCTTTGAAACACCGCGGGTGCTGTTGAGAGCCCAAAAGGGAGTACTCGGAACTAGAAAAGTCCTGCCGTCGTAGTGAATGCGCTTATCTCTTTTGCTTGCTCAGCTAGGAGTATCTGCCAGAGCCACTTGCGAGGTTCAGAGACGTGAAATATCGCTTTCTGCGCAGATTCTGCAGTGTCATGTCTATAGGCGGGAGCGGGTAACTAACTTTTTGATTACTTTGTTGACTTCCCTGTAATCGACACACAGCCGAATTGATCCATCCTTTTTGGCTACCAGTACAATTGGTGAGGCCCATAGAGAAGAGCTATCCTCAATGACACCTCTTTTCTTGAGGTCTCGCAAATCTCGCATACCTGGGCACGCAGCGCATAAGGCACAGGTCGGGTTCGTTGTTTAATAGGAGAACTATCTCCAACATTAATGTCATGATGCAATAAATCTTTTGAGTGAGCTCTAAATCCGAAATTGCAAACATCCTGATACTCGGTTCCAGCATCACCAGTTCTTCTGGTAATGGCTTCTCCTTGCACTTGCTGCTCAATATTTCCAGTAGGTCCTCAGTGCGGTTCTCCGCTATCTTCGGGGAATTGTGGGTCAATTATAACTTGTCTCCAGGCAGCTCACGCGTCCTAGGGTCGTGCCATACCTCCTTTCCCCATTTTCCAAGAGTTTCCCCTTTGCGAATCACCCATGGTTCCTCGGTGTTGTTTCTCACTGATACCAGCGCCTCGCCATGTGTAACCTTCAGTACTCCGTTCCTGAACTGGCTGCTGAGGGCCTCATCGCAGGCCCTTTTGATGGCGTTGATCTCTCTTAGCTGCGGTGACGGCGACGGCACCTGAAATTTCGATTCTTCTGAACTTCCAACCTGCTCTCCATCGGTATCCATTCCGTCGTCTCCATCCGTCTTGGGCTGTTTGGCCCCCATGTCGGCTAGTTGTCTCTTCATTTCTGAAGAATATGCCCAGTTTCACCCAGTTCGTAGGACGCGACGAATAATAAGAGTTTATTGGA